GTGGAAGGCAGAAAACATGGCACTAGTTGCCTAGGCCACATCCACACAGCCTCAGCAATGGAAGGAGCCTGGGCCAGCGTCTGCCCCAGCCCTGGAGAGGCACAGGATTTGCCTGGGACTGGAGGCTTTATTGGTTGTAACAGGACTCCCTCCGGTCTGGAATCCTGATGCCCCTTGACGTTCGCTCAGAGGTTTTGCGGTTGTTGAGGCAGAGGTGGGAGCAGACTGATTTGCTGGGTGCCCGCAAGCATTGCCGCGCTCTCGGCACAGGCACTCGCCCGCACATCTGTTTCACAGACGTTTACCGAGGACTCGCTATTCAGAAACTGTTATGGTTTGAGAGTCCCTACTGAAATCACGCTGCAACTTGGCATTCAGTGCAGCAGCACTGGGAGGCCAGGCTTCCTGGGAAGTGTTTGGGACATGGGGGCAGGTCCCTCATGAATAGATGGCCAGCTCTCCAGAGAGAGAGAGTTCTCACTGAGCAGCAGCCTGAGAGTGGGTTCATAGAATGCCTGTCAGCCCCCGGCAGGTCTCTCCCTTTACTTGTGCTCTCTTTTCCACTTGTCTTGGCCATGTTGTGACACAACATAGGTCAGTCAGGTATCCAGCCATCAGGGTCACAGGTCAAATAAACCTCCTTTCTCTACAAATCACCAATCTCAGATGTTCTGTTGTAGCAACACTAATGGATCAAAACCCAAACCAACCCCTGGCCATGAATCGCATGAGAATACAAAAGATAGTGACACCTTTCAAAGTTATTTGTTACTTAATGAAAAAGATCAGTAATATTTAAAACATCCAGATTACAGAATTAAATTAAAATGTACATTGGAATTTTATTACTTGTGAAATAATAATGCCATAGAAATATTTATTGATTTGAAAAAATTTCCAAATATTAATCATGTTCTAAAACAGAAGACACATCACTCCTATATATATATGTGTGTGTGTGTGTGTGTGTGTGTGTGTTTGTGTGTACATATATATACATACGGGAAAAATGTCTGAGAGAAAAAAAGAAAAATATTAAAAAGAGTTAATGTTACAGAAGATTTTTTTTCTCTTTTGTCTATTTTCTAGTTTTCCTTCAGAGAGCATTTATGGCTTTGTCCGCTCAGAATATCAACCCCCCCCCATCTTTATGTGGACTGATCTTTCTCCAACTCCTGAGAAAATGCCTTTGACTAGAACCTCTGCCTGACCACAATGGGACCAGGCAAGGGCACATGACATGAGGTAGGCCAGGCAGAATCTCACTGGGAGATGGTGAGGAAGGGCTCTCTCCTGATCATAAGGCTTTAAGCTCGGGGGAGCCTGGAACCACTGTCCAGTTCCATAGGGAGGCCTGGCCTGAGAGAAGAATATTTTGTTCAGAAGAGATATGTTCTACTTTCAGGTGGAGTAAGAGACTTATCAGTGTGGCCTGAGATTTGGAGGCAGAGATTGTTCCTCAGAGAAGTAGCTCTGCAGCTGGGGGAAGACAGGGGCGACAGTCATGTAGGTTGTCCAAGTTGGAAGGATACAGAGAGAATGAAATTAAAATTCAAAGTAGGAAGGAGAAGGGCTCTAATCTTTTGTCACTTCAGATAAAGCCTATTTATCCCTGTTGACAAAGAGATAAGAGGATGTAGGTAAATTTCCTTCTAGGGAGGACAGGGTGATTGCATTCATCTCATACTTGAGCACCCACTAGGAACATAGCATGATGGCCAGATCTGGGGCAGGAGCTGCCGTAAGCCACCACAGGGAGCCTCTGAGCCTCTCCCCAGACATACCTTAATGAGAACTCCTGTCTTTCCATAGTTGGAGACTGTTCCAAAGGAAGATAACTCTTCATGAAAGAACCAGGGAAACACATTAAACCACTAATTATTTTTTAAGGCACATTTAAATAATATTTATCAAGCACCTGATAGTAAGCTGAGCTGGGTAGGTGTTAAGAGTGGTAGGTACTGTTCAGTTCCTGTTACCAAACAAAACATTAGAATTGCACTCAGAGCTGCAGAGAAGCATGGGGGCTGCAAAGCAAAGGACTGAGACCCTGGGAACCGGCAGTTAGCGTAATGGCTATGTCGCTGGACTCCCACGTAGTTGACTGCGGTTCACGTCCCGGACCCGGTGGCTTAAAACTCACACCGGGCACGTGTGCGTGCGTGCCCAAGATCCCAAGAGGAGAATGGAGGAGAAGGGATTGCGGCGTGACCATTCCCCCTGGGGGGTGATTTCTCGCTTTCTGTCTCTCTGTCTCTGGCGAGCGCACGCGCCCTATAGTGAAAACCTCTCCAAAAAAAAAAAAAAAAAGACTGAGACCCTAAGGTTGGAAGAAGTTTCCAAAGTCTGGAAAGGTAGATGCCAGTGTTCCCCTCTGGGAACAGATTCCGTGATTCCCCCAGCAGGCCTTTAGCTATGCGATTGAGGGATATCATCTAAGGCAGTATAGACTAGCTAGAAGGCATTTGGCACCTAGAAGTTGCTGGTCAGAAAGTCTGAGGTGTTCCTGAGGTTTCTCCAGGGGTAAGGGTGTGTGTAACAACCAAACACGTATTCTGTCAGGAGCATTATGTACTCACCTACAATCCTCCCAACCGTTTTGAACAGTTCTGAGACCCGTGTGTTAGAGGTAAGAAATAAGGTGAGATATTTTTCAAATGGGAAAGCTGGGAGCAGAGCCAGGTCTATGCAACCTTGTGCAAGGCAGCAGCTGGCAGAGCACTCTCAGAAAAAGTGTGACACCTAGCTAGCACTAGCTGATATAGAAAGGAAATGAGTGACAATGGGAATTGAAAAATTAGATTCCAGCTTTGTTCTTGAAAGCGTTGTCTGCACTGGTAATTGGGCAATGTGGGACTAGGAGGGTTCATTCCTTCTGAACACGCTGCTGATTCTGGCAGGGGTCAACTTGGAGGGAAATTTGAGGGAGGGGCGTGTGTAAGAGCCTCTAGTGGTAGAAAGAAAAAAAGGCACTGGTTCCTGCCTTCCAAGGCTCATTCTAGCACAGCAGCAGAGCTGGCTCCATGGAGTGGTGGTAACGTGCTGCCAAAGAGAAGCTGGGTCCCTCATGGAGGCTTTGGTTCGAATCCCAGGCCTGATCAGCCTGAAACACTCTGGGCATGAGTGCAAGTGCCCAGGATCCAATGGACTGGAGAAGGGACTCTTCTATAGAGTCTTCTCTTCTCTCACTCTCTCTTCTCTCTTTCTCGCATGAACACGCACAAAGTGTATTAAGGATAAAGAAAAAATGTAAGAGTGGAGGCACAGGTCGACAGCAGCTATGAGGCTGGATGGAGGCAGGAAGGGAAGAAAGATTTAAATTTGAGCTAAAACTTGAAATCCTTTCTCACCTTTCAAAAGTTTAGAGACAGATAATTATGAGGCAAATCCATTGGGATTGCATTCATTTGACATTTCCACCCAACAGTTTTATCAAAATCATCCTCAAAGGTTTTTCTTGTCTCTTTAATAATCTCGGTTTAATCACCGAGGGATAAAATCATCTTCAATTTAATCCCAAATCAATTTCAAAAGATCTCATTAGTTCAACTTCCCTGGGTCTCCCAGATTGAATATGCTTAATTCAGTTTTACTTCTGGTCATTCCAGGAAGGTTAGTGGATCAAATTTATAGGCCATTCAAAATTCACTCTTATATAGCTCTTTGGTTAAAAAACAAACAAAACCTGAGTCTGCAAGATAACACTTTATCGTGATATCGAATACTATCAAGTTATTCATACATCTCTATTTTTCTTTCCTCTAATAATTACATCATTTTTTGACCCCCTTCAACGTTCTTGGGGTTGATGGTGCTATATATACATTTTGGCTCAATAACTCACCATCTGTGAAAAAAGTTATACATTGAAAATTCCCCAAAGGACAGACCAAATGTATGCGCTTTTCTTGCACTTAAATACTAACATGTGTTTCACAATTAATTTAAAATTAGCCTGCAGTTTCTTCAGGTTTAATTCAGGCTCACTCATGTTTTAGTCATTACTGTGGGTAAATTTAAGGCTACATATGACCAAGGACTTCATTTCACCCTTTAAAAAACATCTATTTAAGATCCTTCTACACTTAACTAAAGTTTTGTTAAATCAATGACTGTATTTCCAAATTCAGAAATTGAAATAACATGTTGATATATTCCCAGAATCTCTAGAAATGTTTGAGCTCCCTTCCGAGGAAGTAAATTAAAACTCTGTACTTTTAGACCCAGCATTTGTTTGGCATTAATGTGCTAATATTGGATTCCCACTATTTGATTTTTTTCTTAAGTTTATTTCTTCCAGGAGAGAAATAGAGGGACAGGCATTCCAGAGTCATCATGCCATGATCAACTCCCAGTCTCACTGGCTAGATCATGGGCACCTACGTGCTCAGGGAGGTCCTTGCACATGAACTCGGGACCTTCCCCATGTGGGTCTAGCAGCATTTCTGTTGTACTACCGCCTGGCCCTATGTATGTTTATGGTAATCTCTGTGGTAAACAGCATATCTAGTTGATGGAAGGGTAAACCAATGGCATAGCAATGTATTGAAATACTAAAAATAGTATTTATTATAATACTATTAATAATAGTATTATGACTATTCATAATTCCTAATTGTCATTTGTAGGGGACAGAATAAAAAATAATCTAACAAGGGAGAAGCAACTTTTCCCTTTTTTTTTTGGAGAGGTTTTTGCTATAGGGCACGTGCGCTCGCCAGAGAGACAGAGAGACAGAAAGTGAGAAATCACCTCCGAGGGGGATGGCCATGCCGCAATCCCTTTTCCTCCATTCTCCTCTTGGGATTTTGGGCATACACGCACACATGCCCAACGTGAGTTTAAGCCATCGGGTACGGGACTCAAACCATGGTCGACTACACGAGAGTCCAGTGACATAGCCATTATGCTAACTGCTGGTCCCAAGAAGCAACTTTTCCTAAGTGCTTATGACAAGAGGGGAAAACACACACACACACACACAATAATGTCCAAATATGTCAGTGTAAGAAAATATATTTATTTTTTCCCATGACAATACTATGATAAAATTGTTAAATACATGCATGTTTTAAAAACAGACATAAGTAACATCTTTAGAGTTAACAGCCAAGCATACTAGTTTTATATTTATGGTGTCTTAGTAATAGGTTACAGGTTACTTATATTCTATGTTCTTGCTATAACCATGTTTTCCAAAAGATATGGAAACTAAATTGTGAAATTCTATGATTATATAAAATGTCCAGATTTCCCATTCTAACAGCAATATCCAAATTTTGACAAATTGGGAATTACATTAGGTGTCATCTCTGTGAATGGAGCTTTTTAAAATCTATATTAAAATCAGAATTCTGTGAATCTCACTGAATCACACCAATACATTTCAATCTATAGTTTACATCCTGTATATGTTTATTTGAATGTCTCCTTATTCAATGAAACATGATTTTAGGTGCAATACATAAAAGCCGGTCATTCAGGTTAAGGAAAACAGTCTATAGTGGTAACATTTCAAGAAATAAAAAAGGAAAGTTTGGATCTGCAGTTTCTCCCTATCTCTTTCAGCTACATTTACATGCATCTGACCAAACAAAAATTAGTAGTTACTAGTATTTATAAAAAATTGAATATATTTAACATAAAACACCCCTTTAAAAAAAAACACTCATTCTACAAACAATCTTATAAAAGACAAAAACTTATATCTGTTCACAGTATGTGTATTTTGTAAACAGTAATTCACTATAATGCAATTTTGAAAGCAAAAATAGTAATTTCCTAGTGTTATAAGGACCTTGACTTATGTTCAGCAATGAAAGAAAAAGTAAAGACGTTCCTACAGGAGAAGTTGGGTACTTTAAATAATCTGTATTTTTAAATGATTTGTTTTACTTTTGAACATACCTTGAAGGCAGTACTACCTCAAATTGAGGATATCTATCTTTTTGTCCAGGCCAGTCTTTTTCAGGTAATGAAACTGAATGTATTTAAGAAAAAGCCATGCTCCTTTTTGAGAAAATAATAAGATATAACAAATCCCAGGGTATCACACAATACCTACTGTTCCACAATACCAAACTGAAGGGGTTTTCTTTTTGTGTTTTCAGCTATTCACCATGCTATTCGCATTCTTCGTAAATATTATGTTGGAACAAATGAAATAGAAGGAACAACTAGCTCATAATATATTAGAAAAAATAATCATAAGTATTTGGAATCGAACTAGGGGAAGAATGCTTTTAGAAAAGCTATGAAAACCATTATTCCATGTTCTTTTCTATAATCAATTGTTTTAATGCAAATTGTATTACCATCACCATTGGAATGCTTAGGAAAAATATCAAGGTCATTTCCACGTGAAATGGAATCATTCTAATGGAAAGTATAAGGAAATTGAATAAATTTAAGTGAGCCATTCAATTAGGTGAACAAAGTATTTTAGGTCTACGTGTAGCATAAAGTTCTTTTTTTTTTTTAAGTTGATTGGATACTACAAATATAATGTGAGAAGATACACATGAATGTAATAAAAAACCATGTTCCTTATTGATTAGACACTCATTTTTTTTCCTAATCAGATCTTGTAGTTTTTAGAGTATTCTTTTCAGCAACCAAGAAGTAATATAAGTTATTACCACTTTGTATATGCTTAATGTTCAATCAGTTACAGTTTACTTATATAAGAAAGCACTTTTACATTTATTGTTTTTATGGTTCTTTAGCTTAACACTTACCCACAAAAACTTTCAGAGGCTTTCCCTCTTAAAACACTACTTTAAATTTCCATAAAAACTTCACACAGTTAGAATTTGTCTTTGTAGGTAATCTTTTTTTTAAAACTTGGAGAGTTATCCCAAAATATTAACATTTTTAATATAGGGAGAAACAAGCACTCATGGTTACAAATAATAAAACCCTGTCAGATCCCAATATCCCAAGAATTTGGATATATTTTAGATCAAATTACAACCTTTGAAATACCATATATACAAAAGTTTAAACATATCAGCCAATTAAGTAAATATTGTTCTTAATCCTTTCTACTGGCATTAAAAATAGTTCTTTTGTATTATAATTAGCATGAATATGATCGTGTAATAGTTAAGACAAAAACACTAACTGAAAATACTAAAAATCTAGCCACTCACATGAAATAAGAGGTTTCATTATTATTAATAGCCTGGATATGTAACACATGAAGATATCAATAAACTAAAGAAGAGTGATATCCAATAAGATTCTAAGGTATGTCTAAAAGATGAATGAATGTCTTATTAAGTTTAGCCACAAATAATTTTCTTCTGAGAAAAATTTTCTTTCTGGGTATGAAAGAGAAGGTGGGCATGATACCATAAAATTTTGTTTCAGCAGAAAATACCAGTTTAGGGTCAGCCTATGGTGTGATGGTTAAGACAGCTGGTTCCCACACAGCCAATTGAACATTTGAAGTCCTGAACCCAGTAGCATGGAAAAAACATGCCAGGTGCATGTGCATATGTGCCCACAATCTTGAGAGGAGGAGAAATGGAGGAGAAGGGTTGTGATATAACCTTCCCCCATGAGGGGAGGGGAGTCTGTCTCTCTCCCTCCCCCTCCCTTCCTCCCTGTGTCCCTTTCTGGCAAGAGCAAGTGCACTCTGGCAAAGTTGTCTTTTTTGTTTGTTTTATTTACAGTTGAAAATAAATGCTTTGGAGAAATATTTCACCAAGAGAATGAGTTCTGATATTAACCAATTAAGTTCACACATCAACATATGGTTTTGCCACATGTATGTTGGTTGATGCAAACATATTCCAAATTGTGCACTCATCAAATAAAAGGAAACTATGAACGCTCAACATTATGGAGAAATAAGAAATATACTGATGTGTATGCATCAGGTTTTTCTAAGTTTTCACTCAAAGTATGGAGCCACTTCTATAGTAGATTTGAATCTCTGAGTCCACAACATCAGATCTACATAAGCTAAATTTTGTTATATACTGCTCTTGAAAAATTCCATTGAATCTGCAACATTCTGGAATGAGACTCAGTCAGTAAAATAATTAAGTCATGGAACTTTGACTATTCACCAATTGTGACCAATGATCCCACATTTTACTCTTAAGATACCCAATTCTACACTTTCAGAATAAGAAAAAAGCCCTTTTATAAAAGGTATATAAATTTTAACACAGTTCAAAATAAAGAACAGAAGATTAATATATTAAACAAACAAAAATGTTTTATCACATTATGTGCCTGAGCAGTGGAGAACCTTGAGATAACATTTTTTTGAATAGTGCCATGTTCAGGAGTATTTTAATTTCAAAATACCATGAAACTGATTTCAAATTCCTTCACTATCCTACATTTAATTATTCACATACAGAAAAGACAGTGTTCTTCTTTAAATATGGACGGTATTAAAGGCAATTTAAGAGTCACGAGACTAATTTCCAACACAACATATGTGAAGTTTTGAGAATGTGAGTTTTTACCACAGACTGCAAATAGTGTTAGATTTAAATGCAATCCTTCAGAGATCCATGAGCCGTGAAAGTAATGCTGGTATGGAAAATGAGGCTGTTACTTCCTCCCTTAAACTTGTCAGTGAATGGTTGCTTCTGTTTCTAAGCTGCAGGAACAAAGCACCTCTATCACATAAGCACATAAACCCAAATTCAACTATCCAGATACACACGGTCATCATCTCTACAGGTCACCAGGGCTTTACGGGTTCGACAAACGGGTGACTAGATTTCACATGTGTGTTAATCCATGCAATACATAATCCACAAGCTCTTTCTAATGCCAAAAGCCTAGCTAAGTCTTCAGGAAAATTTTTTAGATTAAATAGTATTTAAAATAGCTTCTAAAGATACAGTCAGGTTGACCCCCAGAATGTTCATTTCTCACAAGCTTGATTTGAAATTGGCTTTCAAAAGAGATGAAAACATGTCCTAGATGCAATTCAGCAGGCATAATGGAACATAATTCCAGTTTAGACATTTCAAATTTTCTAACCAATGATTTGGGCTTTTGTTGAGGAACAGAGGAATTTCCCAATTACTTTTCTAGCCAGAAGGCCTGGAAGAAACAAATTTAGCGTCCCTCTCTAATTAGTCCTTAATTACCCCTCCTCAGAGGAGAAGCAGCTAATCTGACTGGAGCAAGCACAATCCCTAGACCGCGCATGTGGATATGTTCCCTGCATACAAACAAGGTTCATTTACTAGTGTCTCAGACAACTGAGTATGTGACAAAGAGAGTTTATTCTCTCCCTTCCCTCTGTGCTGAAGCTCTCTTTCATGCACAGGTGGTGATGGGATTGAAATGTAATAATAACCTTGATCTGCACAAAGGTCTGGCTGTCTTCAATTCAATGGGAAAAGAGGGAAACTTGCTTTGGCCTCAGACCTAAACCACATTCTCTAGCATATGACAAGTTATTAAGGAGCTTGCCCAGACTAGTAGAGTATTACCAATTATTCTCATTAACTTTGTGATCCTTGTGTACAGAACTCCAGAACTGGGGAGAGACAAGCAGCACTCTGAACTTTTCTCATACAGGAAAAGTTGCCAAGTCTTAGAATGAAAGGATTCAAGAGCCCTGGTGAAATTCACTATTAGCCAAACAGATGAGCATTACAAACGTTAGAAAGGGCACTGAATCTAAATGGTCACAGTTGAAATGTGTATATATCGACGACAGAGACCAACTAAGCTCTTCTGACTCGTTCCTGTTACCTCAGGTTACAGTAGTTTAGACCAATACACTTACTTTAACCAACATTTATCCTTGTCCTAAAGAGAGAGTATGGGATCGATAGGTTTCAAAGGGAAACAAAGCAGGAGGTGAGGGCAGGTGGAGTGTGGTAATGACAAGCTTTGGCACAGACAGAAGGCAGCCTCAGGTCTGCATGTCTTAGGTGGGAGATAAGGGAAGGAGCAGAGGATAAAACAGAAGGCAAGAGAAAACTGCTGAGTGATGGCTCTGGTTTGATATATTTTTCCATATTGAAAATTTCTATGAGCAAGTATGTAGCTTTAATATACTATGTGTGTACATAACTCATTGCATTGTCTTTCACTTATCCATATATCAGAAATCTAACTGAATTCTAGCAGTTGAAATTAGGACTTACACACACAGCTCCTCAACTGATTGTGTCCCTTCTCTTCCTGATTCTTTTTTCCACAACATGGTTTTATAAACGATAAGAAGCTGGGAAAAAACATTAATCCACTATTTGCAAATACATTATAGAAGCTCGGATGATTTAAAAATGCACATCTTAACTTACTCAGATATTTCCAATTTTCAAGTACTTTTGCCTTATCTATGAAAAGACAAAATATAGAGACAACCCAAGTGGAGGGAAAACAGAAGATGCACTTTGTAGTGTCTCATTCTGCTTTTCCAAGAACCACATTCATTCTCAGAGAAACAAGGGTAGGCAGAGGATACTGTCCAGCTCAGCAAACAACTGCTGCACCTGTAATATCAGATGCTCACTGATTTGAATGGATTTTATGACATTTAATATGAAATAGCCCTTGAGTAAATGTTCCTGTAAGCAGCATTCTCTTTTTAGCGTTATATTTAAAAACTGAGGACTGAACCAGATAGTCTGGACTGATGTTCATTTAAGAGGGAAGAAGTGCTGAGACTCGTGAGCTGGAGGAACACCTGACAGGAGGCCAAAGAACATCACTGCCCTGGTGACCGGGCTCAATGAAATGGTCTTCTTAGGAGGAACGAAAACTGAATCAGAACTCTATGGACGGCTAGTGCCATGAGATATTGCTTAGTAGTCATCTCGCATAGTAAATTATTGGAATTTATGCTGACAAATATTGAGTTTGCTCAGGAAAAGCTGACACTGTATCAGAAAATAAAATGGATTTTTAGAACTCAGATCTACAGTCTTGGAGATTTAAATTTCAAATATGAGGGCAATCAACTGCAATAATGAAAGGTAGCATGAAAGTTAAAAAAATAATACAAAGGTCTGAAAAACCTACGAGAACAGGAAAACACCATACTGATTTGGGCTGGTCAGTGTCACACTTGTTTTCCAAGTTTGTACCCCTGAGACAACTGTTTGATAACCACTATACAGTAGGCACAGAAATCAGCATACTTTATCAAACAAAACACTAAATAGCTGTCACTACATTGAAAATTATATTCATTTTAAAATTCTGTGGATGGAGAATAACCTTTTAAGTTTTAAAATCTGTGCTTGGTTTTCATCTAGAATGGAGTAAATGTCGATAAATAAACATCATTGGTTACTTTGACATTTTTCTCCCTTGCCTGTGAACCCAGCTGCAATTCATAAAGTATACATATGAGAAAACCATTAACAACAGGACAGAAAATAGTTGCTGTGGGATTTGTTTTGCATGTAGGTACCAAGTGATTTTAGCCTTGAAATGCTTCTTGAAGGTAGAACACGTGAGAATTCTTGGGCTTGATCACAAATAGCTCCAAATCTTGAGTTTTGTGAACTGAGGATTCTGAGTCACTGTACTTTGGCTTTTATACTATATTAAAAGCACATTAACACTTTTAGTGTAACTTGCACGTAGTGAAGTTCACCTCACTAACAATACTTCACAGGATCCCTCCAGGAACGCCCAGTGCTGACGCAGCAACACTAGGAGTAAGAGCTTATTGAGATGGCGGACTGAAGTGACAGTGACACTGTTAATCATTTGGTTTGTTCTGAAAAAAGTTTGTAAAGGACCACCCGCCTCCACTAGCTTTAGGAGAGTCTTCATCCTTAGGAGGAATCAAAAATTGTCGGGAATTAATGGAGCATGGGCTTCCGAAAGAGACAATTTCACTGTTGCTGTCTGTGGATCTAGGAGAGTCTGGGGAGACTAGATGCCAAGTATTTACATTTGCCTGAGGTCTGTAACCTGCAGTTTTATCTAAGTCATCTTCTGCAGCTATATCTTCTATAGCAGAATTAATGGGGAGGTGCATTTGCGGCTTATAGCCTCCCCCCACTACAGGGTCGATTTCTGATTCTTCCTCTTGTTTGGCTTGAGGCTGATACATTGACTGAATGTCAATGTAAATGACTTGTGAAGCGGTGCCAGCTTCGTCCACTATCGGGTTTGGTATTTCTTCCTCAATGATTGGCGGACAGTAGGATACAACCACATGGTTTTCAGGCTCTGCATCAGAGCTCTCTTCAGGACGTTCAGCTACTGGGGAAATTATTTCTGTATCTTCTATTTTAGGAACTGTTGATCGGGTTTCCAGAACCTCAACATTATTTGGGGTACAAGGATTCATTTCCAATGTTTTAAGAGCACTACTTCCCTAGAAAAAAAAATGTAATAAATAGTGATTAAAGATAGTGTCAAATGCTACTGCAATGCTGTTCCTACAAAAAGGAACATTTGTTTTCTATTTTTCTTTTCACATCTGCTTGTAAACATCTGCTTCTACTACTCTGTAATGCACACTACAGCAAAGCCACTTTTCCCCCTCCATATCAATATTTTCCTTCTATTGACAGTAGGGTGGTAAAAAACATGGTAAAAACAGCTTAATAATATCAGACATTCAGTGCTGCTAAAGCATGCTATTTTCTCAGTATTTTTTTTTTTTTTTTTACTTAGGATGACATTTGCATCTTGAAAACTTTCCACAAAAGACTAGGAAAAGAAGCCTAAGAAGTACTAAGAAGTACTTCAAAGATGAACGTAAGAAAATAAAGAATTACCTCACAGACACTCTTTTGAAACTGTAATGCTTTACAATTTTCTGGATTTGGAATGTCAGGATAGAAGGTTTCTTTAATCCTTTGAATAAAGAATAAACAAATTTAATAATAATATTATCAACTAGGTAAGTTAATAAGTCATCAGGCTTATTTTGACATTTGATATGAATACCTTAACAAACACTTGAGTTAAGAATGGAAGACCATTAGTGCGTACTTATTCACTATATAACACACTGTGAGGTCCCAATGTGACACTATAAATAGTAATTCCATTTCCAGAACCATACAACCTTATGTATTCATGAAAATGGAAAAAAAAGAATTAAAATGGTGATTGTGATATCAAGACCAATGTAAAATACAAATTGTATAACAAAAATATCAAAATGCCAACTAGATTAAGCATTATCAATTATTTATGGAACATATTTGCATATGTAGTTCTCTACTACTCATAACATCTAGACTATTCAAGGAACATCTGAAGTGTTATGTAACTTCTTTATGGAAGTGCTTAAAAAACAATGAGCAATAACAGTGATAACTGTGTATTATGAGTAAATTACTTGTTGTGCTAAGAAAAAGAAAGGCTAGGGTCAGCAGGTGGCATCGAATTTAAGCCTGGATCCCACACGGCTGACTGAGCGACTGGAGTCCCAGACCAGCAGGCTAAAAATTATGCCAGGAGTATGCATTTGTATGCCCCAAATCACAAGAGGAGAGTGGAGAATGGATTTCTGTGTGGCCAACCCCTCTGGGGGTGATTTCTTACTTTTCCTATCTTCAATATCTGTCACTCTCTGGTCCATGTATGTGCCCTGTAGTAAACTCAAGAAAAACAATTTTTTTTTTTTAAAAAAAGGCTAATAATATTGAGCCTAAACTAACCACAAACAAAAATGAGATCTGTTTGGTGTCATATCCTATTTCCATATTTACAGCTATAAAAAAGTATTTTTTAAATGATTGTTGATTTAATTTTATTTATTCATTCATTTATTTTCATTTAACCAGAGAGAAACTGGGGGGTAGGGGGGAAGAGAGAGAGAGAGAAAGTGAGAAATGATGCAACCAGGTCCAGGACTTGAACCATGGTCAGCCATGTGGGAGTGTCCAACACCTTAATCACCACACCACCTGCTGGCCCCGAAAAAGTATTTTTATTGAGATTCTTGTAAAAATTTATGTGACTCTTGGCATTTGATAGAAAGTGGACAAATATGGAAGATTTACTGCTAAGTGAAGCAAGCCAGACTATGAAAGAGAGGCACTGTGTGTCCCTATTTGATATATACCAAATGTCAGCACTCTGTGCAAAAACTGAAGGTATAAAAGATGGAGAGCAATGATGTTACTGGAGACAGTGCAGGAGGAGGATGGGAAATGGGGGAGGTAAGAGGGAAAGAATCAAGGGGAAGAAGAAAGAATCAAAACATTTAAGGGACCCAAACTGGGAGAAATCTGTTGATTATAACGTATGTGGTAATGTCTTTGACTGGACTGATAGGCAGTATTATTTATGATGGGAAAATGCATTTGGTATGCTGCAATGATACACAGTGAATGTAGAAAATAAATTTTAAAAATTAAAAGAAATAATTTATGTGACTCTGAAACATTCTAATTTCTAAACTCTCTTAACTTTTTTTTTGGTATTGAAGTAGGTGTTTTTAAAATGTGATTTTGGGTAATAAGAAGACAGCTTCCAAATAGGCTATTCTATGATTCTACAACTATTACTACTTTAACTTACAAGCCAGGATTGCTAGACTGTGTCAAAAATGAAGGCATTTTCAAGGCCAGTGAGGATCTGTCTACTTATGAACATTGCCATCCATACCACTCCTTATGGGGTTGCAGCTGGCCTACAGCAGGTGCTCTCTCCCACCAAACCCTGCCTATGTCACCTCACCATTCTCTCTTGCTTCACCCACCTGCACAGCTCCTCTCCTTCCTACACAAGGTCAAGCTCTTCCAATCTCAGGGTCCTCACAGAAGCCATTCTCCCTAGAGCATTTGTTTTCCTCTTCTTACCTTCTGGGATTCTCCCACAAAACAGCCTTGACTGAGTACCTCTTGTGAGATAGTTCTATTAGTCTCCTGTGGCACCTGGTCCCCTTCTTTCCTACTACCCACTCACCCTCTGAAAGCACATATTTTTTGAGTGTTTATGGTCTCATATCCCTCTTTCCTCACTATTCTGTAAATCTTCCTTGCTTATTTTATTCCCCATTATACCTTTATGTGAAGAGGGTCATTCTTATTTGCTGAGTAAATTATCAAAATTACCATATTTTCAGAACCAGCAGTTGGTGTAATGGCTACGTTGCTGGACTCCCATGTAGTCGACTGTGGTTCGCATCCCGGATCCAGTGGCTTAAACTCAGGCCGGGCGCATGTGCATGCTTGTCCAAGATCCCAAGAGGAGAATGGAGGAGAAGGGACTGTGGTGTGGCCAACCCCCCGGGGGGTGATTTCTCACTTTCTGTCTCTCTGTCTTTCTGGTGAGCACTCGCGCCCTATAGCAAAAACCTCTTCCCCTCCTCCCCAAAAAACCCTGATTTTCTGAATAGGTCACCAGGGCAAGGGAAATATAAATCATTATATTTTATCTTACAGATAATTATAGACACAATTATTATTTATTTAATTAATAAAACTAGTATTAAATTATTCATAAAATGGAAAACATATACTTTTTACTCTATTAGTTTTAAAACTTTTAAATAACATGTTCTTGCCTAGTATTAAAGTCGACATTAATTCTGTCTAAAACAAACATATTTTACTAACCCGTTACAACTAAAAAGATGTATCTAATCTGTTAATACATAAACTGAATAATCATACCCTTAACAAAACAACAAGAGGAAATACAGGTACCATTACCATTCTCGTTTCCGATAGCAAAGGATACTTGTAACCACACCAACAATCACAGCCACAGCCACTGGGATGAGAATGGCAATAATTAATCCCACAGCTGAAAAGGAAACGTTATAAATATTATGATGACTGTTTGTAGTTTGAAGTATAGAATCAATGCACATTAGAAGATATTTAAGATGGTAAATTATCTGATGGAAAAGAAATCCTAACTGCTCCAAGGACACAAAAAAACCTATTAAAATATTAGGTCATCAGGAAAATTATGACCGATTTTCCATGCAAAAATGCATCATAACTTTCCCGACAATCCAGTGTAACCTTCAAGTAAGTATTTTACTAATGTTTAACTCCTTTAGAGAGAAGTTTCTCAATCTTACCACTACTGACATTGTATGCCAGGTAGCACTTCTATCGGGCTTGGAGGGAGCAGGGCTAGCCTGTTCACTGCAGAAGTTTAGCAACACCTTTGGCCTTTAACCAGTAGATACCAGTAGGACTGCTCAGTTATGACAACCAAAATGCCACTAGGCATTGCTAAGTGTTTCCTGTGGGACAAAATCCCTCCGCCAGCCCCAGTTAAGAATAACTGCCTTAACAAGTACCATATCCTCATGGTTCTTTATGTAAGAATCACATGTGAACTCTAACTCAGGGATACACGCCTGTAATCACAGTTCAAAATTATTTGCTGCTAAAAGTCAAACCCAACACTTCTCTTTTTTCTATTTCCATCTCAAATTCATGAGTGCTGTGTTTTGCAAAATTCCTTATAGGATTTCTTTCAGTTTTTCCTTTGCTTGGTTAAATATCACAGAATAACTGGGGCAAAAAACATTAAATTGGTTGACTGTTAGATAAGTTCAGCATGAATTTAGACTTCTCAACTTTAGAGGTATCCCTAATTAATAAACTCCCGATTTGAAAATAGCTTAGAATAACCGACAGGAATAAACACGAAGTCATCTTATGGCCTTTTAACACTGCTCTCCACCAGTCATAAAAATGCGATGAAAAGTGAAATTCTAAACAAAGGTGGGGGAGCTTCCTACATAAACCAAAAATCACTAGGAACACAATACATTTACATGTTTGAAAGCTTCCCAGTGGCAGTATTTAACTTACAATTTTCCTTTGTCACCACATACATGCTCTTCTCTGGGCCAATTCCGCCATCCGTGTAGGCTCTCAAGACCAAATGGTAACTTGTTTTACCCTGAAGATCAGCAATTCTCAGTGTCTTCTGGGATATGTCAGTAATATTTTTAACCTTTACGTCAGAACGACCTATATTTAAAGTGAAGAATATTTTAAGTAATCTCTACCCCATTTAAACATGGTTACTTACACCTGTCTCAACAACCATCCCCTATAAGTGAGTCTGACTGCTGGCCACCCCCAACCAAGGACTGTGGAGCTAGCCAGAGTCACATTCAAGTTCTGCCTCTATCAAGCAGAAACTCTGTTAAAACCCACTCTGAACTTTTGAGTTTCTTTAACTATGAAACAGAATATTACAACTTGCCCCACAAGATTGTGTAAAGTTTTCATTCACGGTCTCTAAAATAATGCCTGGCACATAGCAGGCAATCAGGAAAGTCACTTCCTTTGCTGTTTTCTATGGGCATAAAAACTACTACAGCCAAAACCCACCTGGGCTGGGCCTGCTCGTGAGTCAGAGGACTGAGCAAAGCAAGAGTGAAAATCAACAGCAAAGACTTCAAACCACTTAGAAAAGGTTAAGTCTCATGAGAATTCTCCAATGAAAAATAGCAAGGAAGTCTTTGAATCACTTCAAAAGAAAATGTGAAGTACTGTCTCAAGCATTTAAAATGTTTGTAAAATAGGGACCAGCAAGTAGCATAATGGCTATGTCGCTGGACTCCCATGTAGTTGACCATGGTTCGAGTCCCGGACCCGGTGGCTTAAACTCACACCAGGCACCTGTGCGTGCATGCCCAAGATCCCAAGAGGACAATGGAGGAGAACGGAATGAGGCATGGCCATACCCCCTAGGGGATGATTTCTCACTTTCTATCTCTCTGTCCGGTGAGTGCATGTGCTCTATAAGCAAAAACCTCTCCAAAAAAAAAAAATTGTAAAATAATATGACAGTTAAAAAAAAATTAAATAACATTAGTAGCTAATAACAAAGAGTAGTAGCTCCCTATCAGTCTTTCCTCTTACTCCCTAGAACCACTTTAGACCAGGTTATTCATTTGAGAATTTATCTCCTATTTTAAAATAACAAACTTAGACTTCTAGTTCTTGACTATAAATTTTAGACATTATCTATTTATGTCCTGAAGGCACAGGGAGATTTTACACCTTTGCCCTACCACCACCCCACTCCCCTGCTGTGTCGTTCACATGGAAACACCAGAGCATCTAATGAGCTCATATCTACATTACTTTAACCACACGCATTATTTGAGTTACTGCTATTGCTTGATAATGCTCATGTTTTCTTTCTTGTTTCCCTGCTGTTCTACTTGCTTTCTTCCCCCTTGTTTCATTTTCTAAGTACCAGTTCCTAATTCTTCCCACATCCCCTAGTGAGTACTTGGTACAATTTTCCCATGTGGTCACACGATGCCAAATAACAGTTCCTCACCTAATTCTCATTTCCTCTGTCCCTGCCTCCTTCCTGGGCAGGGCCTCATTAACATTTTTTTATTTTGATTTATTAAAGCTAAAACTGCTTTTCTTGAAATTAAAAAATATATTTAAAAATACCTATTTAATGGCTGCAGTAAAGCTACAGAGCCTCAGCTAGGTGCTACTGCTACTTTTTATTATATTCATTTTACTCAGAATTTCATGCCTAAAGTCAGACATGTGTTCATAGATATGTATGTATCAGTTGCACTTGCTATTGAAAGTAGTTAATTTAGTTTGTGAATCAATAAAATGTGGAGGGGAATAAAAAGTAATGGAAAGCAACTGTAGATACCAGAGACAATGTGGGAGAAGGATGAGAAATGACAGGGTAAGAAATAAGGGGAGAAAAATTATTTGTTGATAATGACATGTATGATTAAGTCAATATATAGTGTATTCTGGATGGGAAATCACATTTTGTATGCTGCAATGACGCTCATTGAATGAATGTAAAATAAATACATTTTTAAAATAAAATAAAAATGAGGGGGAGCCTTGCATGACTCAAACTGTCTTCCTTCTACTCTCATCCTGATAGACTAGAATTTTAGGTTGAAATCATTTTCACTCGGTATCTTGAGCATGCTGCTGTGAGCCTTCCAGTATCTGCAGAGTTGCTGGGAAGTCTGCTGTTGTTCTTATTCCTGACACCTTCCACATGGCCCGTTACTCTCTGATCATCTCTAGGGCTCTTTCTTTATACCCAGGAGCTATGACAATTCATGATGACATACCTTCACACAGATCTTTATTTATTTATTTTACTGTATACTCCATAGATCCTTTTACTCTATTTGTATTTTTTTTTTTGAGAGGTTTTTTGCTATAGGACTCATGCGTTCACCAGAAAGACAGAGAGAAATAGAGAGACAGAAAGCAAGAAATCACCCCCCAGGGAGAATGGCCACACCACAATCCCTTTTCCTCCACTCTCTTCCTGGGATCTTGGGCATGCATGCACACGCATCCAGCATGAGTTTAAGCCACCGGGTCCAGGACTCGAACCACAGTTGACTACATGGGAGTCCAGCAACATAGCCATTATGCCAACTACTGGTCCCAATCCTTTTACTCTATATTCAGGTCCCTCATTTCTGGGAATGTTTCTTCAATCAATCCTCTCTATTCAGCCCAGGTTCTTCCTAACCACTTAACTCCAACACCTGGTCTTGATGGATGACTGCTTCTCAAAGATCCCCAACTGTTCTCCTGAGGTCTTGCCACTCTCCACTCTTTTTAGGCATCTGCCGCACTTCCACCCCCATATCTCCAAAACCTCTTTTTTTAGTACTGTTCTGCCCCTTCTCTTTCTTTTTATGGCTTTAAAGGTGTGTTTGTTCCTTTGGTTTTCCTCCTTTGCTCTAACTTTTATGACCAGTCCATCACTTCTAACTGGTAATCCAGAATCTAGGATATTAACTGGCTCAAGTGTAAAATTTCTGTGCATCTGAGGGAAATTACACTTGCCTCTGGATGCTTGTGGTGATATTTATGATTCCCTCACCCACAGACAACACCAAGCCTCAAGAAACGTAGAACTCTGCCCTGGAGGAGGGTACATCGAATGCAGCTGCTCTGGGAGGGGATTTGGACGGTGTCCAGATGGATCCGGGGGCAGCCCTGCTGTTCTCTACTTGTCAGACAGGCATTAAATAATTAAAGGTTTGTGGCGAGGTCATCAAGGGAAATGAAAACTCTCAAAATGAAAAAATGATACATGTGTGTTATGTGGCTATGGATAAGGAACATCTGACACCTGCCAGAAATTAAATTTAGAGGAAATACAGAAATATGAATAAGTAGTTCTATATTTCTAAATCCATGGATTCGCTAAGGTCTTTGAACACATACTTATCAGTTGTCAAGGGCTGTTTGTGCTTTTTAAGATTTAATAGATGGACACATCCCTAAGGAAGTTAATTAAGTTTGCCAATCCTTTAAAGCCATGACTACCATTTTTTGGATTCTTGAGTTTCTCTCCTCCGTTAATATAAACACAAAAATATTTTTTATTTTTAAGTGAACTTCATAAGATACTATGTTATTGTCATGCAAGGATAAGAGATGGTCTGTGCCCTATAGAAATAATAAAATATTTCAGAATAAATGATTTATAAAAGACCACACATTCCATTCATCACATACTAAAATCCTTTTTTTTTTTTTATAAGCAAGAGAGATTTTTGCTATAGGATGCATCTGTTTGACGGAGAGACAGAAACAGAGTGATAGAAAGTGAAAAATCACCACCCAGGGGGATGGCCACACCACAACCCCTTCTCCACCAGTCTCCTCTCAGGATTTTGGGCGTGTACATACGTATCTAATCTGAGTTTTAAGCCAGCGGGTCCGAGATTCAAAGCACGGCTGACCACGTGGGAGTCCAGCGATGTAACCATTAAGCCATCTGCTGGTCCCATCACATACTAAAATATTAAACTGTCATATTTATGAAAGGACTGCATTTTCATTTCCCTGTTTTTCAGACAGTTTCAGAAACCAATACTGAACTATTCCACAGGACTTTTTTCCTTTTCTCTTCCCTTGTGGTTAATGAAACACTTTTAAGAAAACACTCTCACGCTAGCAATTTACTTACCTGAATCCAAATCTCTCATCTTAAAGGTGTCTCTCTCTCCTTTTTCAAAATAAAATAAGTATCCTCTTAAAAAGCCTCTAAGCTCTTCCACTGGAATATCTTCCCACTTCACTAGTATTGAGTCTGCAGAAGTATCCTCAACAGTAAAATTTGGAGCAACAATTGGAGCTGCAAAAGAGAGAGAATCATACAAACTCTTCTTCAGTGAAACTTACATACTAATAACTGCAGAAAATATTTTTAAGAACTGAGGCAGAACCTGCAATGCAATTTTTAGACAAAACACTCGCCTAAGGAAGCAATCTACACAAAATCTTATGCGGCTACTTAAATAGATATCATGTATATTTCTCCTCTATTGACAGTCCTAAGAGTCTTTAAAGCATGTATAAGTGCAAATTAACTATTATTGACATTCAAATTAAGAATTAACTTTCTCAATGGCAATAGCATAATTCTGAAATATAGACATCTAATAAATGGAATAAGTGCTATGCTTAAATACATCCCCCAGAAGTTCATGTGTTGGAACTTGGTTGTACTGTAAAGAAATTAACCAGAAACTTAATCTGACTGTAATATTCAAAGATGAGGCCTTGAGAAAGTGATCAGACCTCAGAGTAGGACCACCCTAAATCCTGGTAGGTTTGTAAGAAGTGTGAGACCAGAGCAGAGGGACATGCAGACAAACACACATGTGCTTTGTTCTGCTTCTGGTTCTTGCCTATTGACATGTGAGGCCCTCTGCCACATTATCCACCAGCAAGAAGATCCTCCCAGATGTGTCCCCATTATCTTTAGGCCTCCAAATTGTGAGCTAAATAAACCTCTATTTTTATAAATTACCCAGACTTAAAGAGTTTCTGTTCTAGAATGGGCTAGAACAATAAGTAATCAAACAATTTTAAATTTATTATACAAATTATTTTTCTTTCCTGAATTAAACATCTTAATTCAGCCTATCTTTAGAACTCAATTTTACTATTATTGTCAACTTACAATTTTTTATGTTATCTTGAACTTAAAAAAACAAAACTTACCCAATTCTTCTATATACCCAATTACGGAGCGTAATAATTGATATCCTTGATTTCTGCACCCATACAGGAAAAAATTGTATCTTACGCCTGGCCGAAACTGATCTATAGTATGAACAAAATCAGTAAATTTTCATAAATATATATTATCAAACATATCTACTTTAGAAATATTACATTTATATTAATGTACCCTGAAATTTCTGAAACTAATTTTATATAAATGATTTACTGTATAAACATACATCTGTATTTTCCCAACTGATAAACATATAACAAATTAACTTCTACTGTAATGAAAAGTTCAGTGTTACAAGATGACTTTGCCTTAAAGTGAAAAAAAAAAAAAAAAGGTGATCACGGCTTACATTTTGTTCCTTAAAAATCAAGCAAGGCTGACTTCTCGGATTTGATTCAGGGTGAGTTCAGTGACCCATTTCAGTTCCACGTCATGCCTCTCTAAATCACTTTCCTACAAGTGTTATTCTAGGTTGAGGGAAAAAAACCACTGCTCTTCCCTTGCTCCAAGAGGCAGAATAAAAAGTTCCACCTTACTTTTGAGGCTTCTCTGCTAAAGGAAATAGGGGATGGATACAAGTCTGTTCCTCTTTACAGCACTGCCATTAAGTGTCTCTGGGTGAGTTAACCCACAAGAAACAACCGAAGAACTTTAACTTTGATCAAAACAGCTCAATACAATGCAGACCGTGGAATGTGGGGAACACAGAGAAGCACAAGGCTTGGAGAAGCTGACAGTGTTGGGAAAGAGATGGACAAGGGTGACCATCGCCATGTGAACTGTACTACAGGTATGCATCAGATGTCGTGGAACCTCCAATGAGGCCCAAATAAGTCCAAGAAGATCAGAAAAATCCACTCTAAGTGACAGGTTACAGGGCCCCGAAGAGCAAATAGCGCATTAGTGGTGGTCTGGGAAGAAGTTGCTACATACGGGATTGATTTAAGTTGTGGAATGGAATTATTCTAGTGTAGTTACAGCATTAGTTCTCCAATTACTTGCCCGAAGATCACCAATCCTCTACAGATTCTAAAAGGAGATGGTTAACCTGTAAAGTCACACAATCAGAAAAAAACTGAATAGACTTGTTTTCTTGCAGTATTTTTCCTGAAATGCCTGCTATGTGATGGTGAGTAGTTAAGTAAATATTAATAGAAAACTCAAACTCAGGCAACTGTGTTTTGTCTTTGGAGAAAGGCATACTTGAGGCCATGTTTTTTACATAGTACATAAGCCTGTACTTAGTTTATATGAAGATTATGTATTCTATAGGGTTCCGACACCTTTAAAAAATAAAGAGCCTGAGTGGGTTAGAACATTAGGAATGTGTGTTGAGGTCATTAAAGAGAGAAGACAATTGGATGAATAGGTGGCCAGATGAAAAAGGAATGAGAAAAGTGCCTACTATGTACTATATGCTTTCTTAGAGCTCAGCAGTAAATAAAAGAGAAAATTCTTAGCTTCTCAAAGCTTTGAGTAGCTCTGAATCTGGATCTTGGTGCTATCACATACTAATTTTGTTACTCTGGGCAACGTGCCTATCCTTCCTGAGCCTTTTCTGAACCTCTGTAGGACCATTGCTCATCTGAATTGATAAGTTCTCATCCCTCAGTCATCACAGGCCACTTTTCCACATCCTACAGGTCTCGGGTAAAACTTGCATCCCTAGATTCACTGTCCAGATCTACTCTGCTCTACCCCAGTCTCTACTGTCAGTCAGCTCAGGTGAGAAAGGATGGACTGGAACTGTGGGAGACTTGGTCAGTTCCATGTCCAGCAAACACAAGGCAAGGTGCAGGAATGAGAAGGGGGCGGGTGTAGCTGGGCACCTGGTAAGCCTGGGGCTGCTTTGGCCAATTATATATGGGAAGGAGTCCATTTGTATTACAAGCAGAATTGGGAAGGAACTTGAACCCAGGTGAGGTAATCCAATGCACGGGGATCATTCTCAGCATCTGCTGGTGAAAACAGTAACTAAGTAGAATGTCTCCCCAGGGAGAGAAGTGACCAGCAGGCTGCTTGCACTCCTGCACTTCACTGACATGAGAAAGGGAACCAGGAGAAGGGAAAGGCTCCAGAAGCCTCAACACCACCGGACTACAGGGTTAGAAACCCCTGGAGGACAGGCACCACAGATTCCCATCAGCTGCTTAGAAGGAACAAAGACCCTGGATACAGGATCTCATTCCAGAGGACAAGGCTATTTAGTCTGCAGGTTACTGAGCACTCCTCCAGAGTTAAATTTCTCAGCCTGCATCATATCAAGGGCAGCCCGCCCTCCCAGGCTCACAGGCTCTAGGCTCGTTAGCAATCAGGACTCCCTACCCACACTGCTCCCACTGTCATGTGGATGCCTCCCAGTCCTGCGTCAGGGTATATGGTGAAGGGTGCAAGTCATGAGAGACTCGTACGCCAGTCTCTCCCTCCCCCCCCAGGAACCTGGGCCTTTAGGCAAAAGGACCATGAGTAACATCAAACTGCTTACAGTTTTGTAGAGTTCTTTTTTCATGGCCATTTTCTCCATGTTGTTAAATCTTTGACAATTTTCAATGTTATTTAACATTCCATTTTATAAATGTACCAACATTTCCTGATTTCCCTAATTGTTATTTGGATAGTTTTCAACTTTTCATAATTATAAATAATGCTTTGGTGAACCCTCTTGTATGTATTTGTGCTGTTTTTAAAATGATTTCTTTGGATATATTCCTCAGCCAAGTAATCACTAGGCCAAAGGGTTTGAATCCTTTCATGTACATATTACCACAAAGCACCTTCCAGAGAAGTTAAGCCAGCTCACAGCTGCCCAGTGCTAAAGAACGATCACCCTATTGCACTCACTCACATGCTCTGCTTCTAAAAAATATTTCCTAAGATCTGCAATTGCCAGACTAATTCGTCTTACCTGATTCTATCACAGTCTCGGTGCTGTTTACAGGAACTTTTTTCCAGTCCATAAGGCAAGGTTCAGCCCGAGAGGAGTTGCACCATTTAATGACATAGTCACAAGTCATGTTGGGGTCATAGTTCCAAGTGAGGAGAATCCCCTTTCCCATTCCAACAGTCTGCTCTATTTTGAGATCATCTTCAAAAGAAAGGATATTTTACTAGCATTAAAAATGAGAATAAAAGCCAAACCTCATGAAAATGAGCAAGAATTACCTCAATATATGAAAATACAACAGTCCTCGAACTAGATAAACCTTTAGCAAAGGTTAAAAGTGTTGCTCTGTTACTTTTATTTTAACAGTTATGGTACTCACCTGTACACAAAGATTAACACCATAGCTGAAAATAAATAATAAAAAACGATACCTGCGATTAGACAGTGATGCGCCAGGGCTAGGACATGGTCAAAGGCCAGGAAGGATGGGGCTCAGGGAATGGGACAAGGACAGGGCACTAGAGGAAATCTGGCACCAGGCATGATGACATGGGGTAAGGGAGGGAGGCGGCAGGTTGGTTAAGGTCACTAGAGAACAATCTGAAGCCCACCTTATATCTCCATTACAAAAGCGAACTCCATGAGGACAGGCGTCCAAGCACAGAATACACAGAACAGACACCCAACAGACATCCAGAAAGAATGCATGAACCAGCTCCTGTTTCAAAGCAGATTGTTACCCCACAGCAAGGGCTCCGAGGTTCTGGCTGACTCGGAGCCAGGTGGCAGGGGGTCATCTGCCTACATGCAGTGAGGCTAGTGAGGTAGGACAGCCAGTGTGGGCACAAGGGGGGAAAGTTTATACAGCAACCCATATGACGCCAAGGGGCAGGTCCGATGGCTGGGGAAGTAGACAGGAGTGAGTGGAGGCTGTGGTGACGTCGTCTCCCTGTCCTACAAATAGCCTCAGTAACAGTGGAGCCTGAGGGGAAGAAGCACGGTACAAGTCAGGGCACTGTGGTCCAAAGGGTGAGGGAAGTTCCACACAGTACCAGGAGAAAAGATGCAATTTCTAGAATTGATTCATAGTTAAAGGTTCAGCAAACAGCCATAGAAAGATTTTTTTTTTTTAACACAATTTGCACTCATAAGGTATCTACTGCTGAACACAAGACCACATTTTGGCTCAGGATACAGAAGACTTTGGACATACAGCTTTTTGGCTCATCATGTTAAAAACCCACAAATGTGAACCTGAGCTGAGGCTGCAGAGCCTCCAACTCGGGAAATTCTCAAGGACTGACTATTTGTATGGCTTTTCCACAATTGTCTAGAAGCGGGTGACTAACCATTGTTAGCTCTATAAATTACCAGCTCTGAGGGGCACATTAAAGGCAGGACTACGGTTCTTGAACTAAAAGACAACAAAACTAATGTCAATCATTACCAGAGCAATGAAACACGTGAGGGGGTCTTCAAACAGTTCATGGAAAATGTGTATTATGAAAAATTTATGCATGGACTTCAAAATTTTTTTGCGCCCAAACAAATCCATACTTTAATTCCATTATTCTGTGGACCTTTTGAAGTCTCCTTATATGATCTAAATTAATAGGTTGTCTTCTTATGGATGTTTTCCCACTACTCTCTAGACCATGGTTTTTTTCATTTTTTATTTTTTGCAAGGCAAGAATGAAGAGGCTAGCCCACTCTGCCCTGACCCCACATTCCCACCCCTGCCACTCCACTGCCCTGAGGGCCGCCAGTGTACATTGCTCTGGTATCTGGCCAGTTCTCTGTCTCTCTGAAATATACTGTGCTTTCCCCGTTCTTCCCTCCTAATTCAGACCCGGAAAGAACCAGCTACGCAATAAGCAATAAGAAACTGCCTCAAACACAAGTTGGAAAGGTTCTTAGGGAATCCTAACTGATAAATTTTCCTTCCTCTAAGAAGGGATGTTATAGGAAACTGCTCCCATACTTGGGGAGGAAAGCAAAAGGGGGAACGGGAAATGACTTGAGAGGGGTTGTTTAAAAGAGGTGGAAGTGACCATTTAAAATTCATGACTCAAAAAGCTATCAAGGAAGAGGTAAGGAAGAGCATAATAAAACGTAAAGGAAGTCACTAAATAATTTTAAATAATGCACCAGAGTTTTTCTTTTCTTTCCCTTCAATTTGCCAGAGGGCACAAGCATTCACTCACTCACTAAGAGAGACAGGGCAAGAGAGAGAGAGAGAAAAAAAGTAAAAAAGCACACATATACCTCACCTTGGGGAATGGTCATGCTGCAACCCTTTCTTCTCCATCTCTCTACTTTTGGGATTTTCAGCATGCATACACATGTGCCAGGTTTGTTTCTCAAGCTGCTGGCTCCAGGACTCAAACTGTATGGTTGGCCATGTGAGATGTAGCTGCCTTAACCACCACACTATGGGACTATGGGCTGGTCTTACTGTTTTTTGTTTTTTTTTTTTTAAGCCTATACTGAAGATACAATTTAAACTTTGGGAAGATTCTTATCAATAAAGAATTCCTATTCATAAAAAATTTCTTATCAGCAAAGTTGCCAGTTAAAATATTTTCCCTGCATTATAGCTTGCAAAACAGCCTAGCTAACATAGCATAAATTCTCAAAGAGATTATTTGAAAGTGATACCTAGACCAGTTGGTGGAGTAGGGGACAACACAGCCGGATTCCCTAAGACTGACTGCATGATTTGAGTCCCAAACCTGGCAGCTTGAAAGACATGCTGGGCACAAGTAGATGTGTGCCCAAAACCCCAAAAGGAGAAATGGAGAAGGGACTGGAGCATGGCCATCGCCCATGAGGACTGCTTTCTCACTTTCCCCCTTTGTCCAGTGAGTACTCATGCTCTCTGAAATACATACATACGTAAAGTGATATTTGAGTAAACTCTTACAATAATTCTACCTAAAAGTACTATCCACCACCAACTCCAACATTAGGCAATAAAGTAACTGGTACAATCGCCATGGTATCCCTCACTATATGTGCTCGGAGTACACACGGATTACTGCTCTCTCAGTGGATACAGCCACTCCTCACTTCATGACTGCTGGACTTAGACTAGCTCTCCAGCCCAGGAGATCCCCTTTCCCAATTTGTGAGGGTCTTGGGAACTCCCTTTCTCAGTCTTGGTCTCATCCCTACAGTTGGTTAGCATTCATTACACTAAGCATTTGCAATCACACAAGACTACGTATTTTGTTTACAAATCTATACTTTATGGTGTGCTCATGATAGTATTCAGATTTTTTTTAAAAAAATGATTATGCTAGATTTACATTATTGTGGTGTGTCTTGTCATTTCCTGGCGCTTACCTAATGTATGCTTTTTGATAGATACAATTACATTATTCTATTCTGGTGTTGCATGGTATCTATTGAAAACTACATACTCTATGTTACCACAACAGACCATTAAGACATCTGCCTCTGAGCTCCTCACTTAGTGACCAATTTGCTTAAATACCTAATTCTAAGACTGTAGCGTGATCATTAAGTGAGGTGTACCTGTATTAGATACTAAATCCTTACGTATGTTTTACAATGGCACATATGCCCCCCAAAATGATGTCTTTATATGAGAGCAAGTGACATCAAAATTTTACACTTTAATTTCTTATTATTTTATACTAAATTTCTTAGGTACTCACCATTTGGGATTTCCATGCTAGCTATTTTAGAAGGTGGTGATGAGCCAACAGAATTTTTTGCCACCACACTGATAATGTAGTCATTTTTATCAAGTTGTATTTCTGCTCTGTGTTGAGGATCAGGGATCTCTGAAAGAGACTGTGTTTCCTCATCTGATGAACATGATATATTATAGGAAAGTATTTTCCCATTGGCTTCATTAATGGGTAAAGGCTATGAGACATAGAAAAATAAATTGTTATAAAAACTTGCAAACAGCAATTATGACTAAGCCAAGTCATCCCATCTAAACTGGATGCTACATTAATAATAACAATTAGAAAATAGTTATCTTCACATTTTCTTGGAAGTAAAATTTTTAGAAAAATTTTTAAATTCATGACAGCGTTTGTGTGCATACGTATGAATGAAAAAGAGAAAGACAGAAAATCCTCCCTGATAGGGTGTGTCAGGCTGCAAACCCCTTTCCCTAGCCTCTTGGCTCCTCAGCATCCTGGGACATATAAGCATGAGCCCAGAGTGTTTCAGGCTGACCAAGTCAGGATTTCAACCACAGTCAGCATGTGGCTTCTAGCCCAGCAGTTCAGTATGGTACCGACTGCCCCACCAGGCTGAGACCTGAAGAAAATTTAAGAAGTGATCAGTAGGGTTAATAGGTGGTGGATGCAGAGGTCAGCGTGGCTGGATTTCACATTGCCAACTGCATGGTTACATGCTTTTGAATTCTAGACCCAGCAGCTTGAAAAAGCCCACCAGGCACAAGTGTATGCATGCCCCAAATCCGGAGATGGAAGTAGAAGAGAAGGGACTGTAGCTTGGCGATCCTCTCTGGGTGTGATCTCTCACTTTCCTTCTCTCTCTCTCTCTCTTTCTCTCTGGTGAATGCATATATAAAAAATCAAAAAAGAAAAAAAATGTATCAGCAACATTGATGTACTTAACAACAAAGCAAATGTAAGAAGATTATGGCAGAATTTTTTTTAATATTTGTCATTTTCTCTAAAGTAGTGCACACCTATTACAGAAAATTTGGAAAATAAACAAAAATTGAGAGAAAACAAGTAAATCTTTCTTATATTCCTATCTCTTAAATACTGACATATTGATATTTCTCTCAAGTTGTTTTTCTGGTGCAGATGTTTTATTATTAATAACATTGTTTAATCATACCATACAATTTTATATATTTTTCACTTTTCTATAATATATACTTGTCTAGGTTAATTATATATACCTTAAAGGCTTTATATAATATTTTATCAGTGTACTTGAATGTTAATTAAATAAACAAAACTTAAGTTTTCCTATAATTTTTTTGAAAGGTTTTTGCTATATGATGTGTGCGCTAGCCAGAAAGAGAGACAGAGAAACAGAGAGAGAGAAATCACCCCCCAGAGGGGATGGCCACACTGCAGTCCCTTCTCCTCCATTCTCCTCTCAGGATCTTGGGCACGCACACATACGCGCCTGGTGTGAGTTTAAGCCACTGAGTCTGGGACTGGAATCGCGGTCAACTACATGAGAGTACAGCGACATAGGCATTATGCCAATTGCTGGTCCCAGTTTCCCTATAATTTTACAATAGGTACTAAAATAATACTTTGATGAACCTTTTTTACATGTTTTTCTTTCCACAGTTAGCATTAATTCTTTAAATATAAATTTTCCAAAGTGGACTTATTGGATAAAATGGAAAGAACATTCAAACTTCTGATGTCTATAACAAAACTGCTTTTAAAAACAATTGTCCCAACTGCTGCGGCCATGGGACCAACCATGGGGATGTTGGTGAGAGCACTATGGGAGACTCTGCTCCAGTAGGGGGCTCTGAGGACTGCATGGCCTGCTCCAGTGGACAGGTTTGAGTCCTAAAGACTCCACAGCTTCATGTGATCTGCCGACCGCTCCCCGAATTGTATGCTCTTCTAGTTTCTGCAGTACTATGTTCTCTGGCACTTCGGCCCTGCTGACTCTCCCAGTTTCCACTGCGGTTCCTTTTGTGCTGCCACCACCCTGGGCCCCACTCCTAGCTCTACTCTCACCATGCATGCTTCCCCTGACAAATCCCATTCGCTTGCTATTCAAAAACATGCCTGTAGCTCTGACGTCCCGGAGTTCCAGAGCACATCAAACCACCACTCAGACCTCACAGTGGCACATGTTCTAAAAACTCAGTATGTTCTAAACAATTTTTCACCTAAACATACTCTCCCTTTGGGTATGCAAATGGCACCACCATCAATCTAGTCACTGAAGTTAGAATCTAAATCACTTATAATTTTAGTCCTCGATTAAACTTTCGTCTGGTATGAACAATATTAAAAATCGTCTCTCTGAAGTAATTTGTAAAATTGGTGCTGTATCATTAGGACATCTGACAAGCAATGGAGAATAGCCAAGGGATATTCTAATCCAGAGTAAGAGTGGATGCAATGGTCAAACACAGACAATCTCAAAACAATGAAACTCATACCAAACTTGCACATATACTTTACTTAAAGCTATACTGATGTCAAATTTTTGTAAAGATGAAATTATGTATTACTTTCCATAATAAAATTCACTATTTGAAGGAATTCTTTTATGACTGCTGCTATAAAATCTATTACAGAAAACAATTACTCATGTTTTTAATTTTCATAAAATATTAAAAACAGAAGAAAAAAGTTTACTCTAATTGAGAAAAACTAGTAAAATGTAATATAATTTATGTTTTATCTAAACATTTTACAAACCCATGCAAAATACTGTGGCTGATATATAATTCAATGACCTTAAGACTAACAAATGACATGTGAAATACAAAAAATGTTAATTTTCCCAGTCATAAGGAAAATGTAACAAACACTTGGGATTCTAATTTGTAGTTTCTGACTAAAGTGAGGGAGATGGATTTCATGAAATACTCAGGTCCTTTATGGGTACTGTAAAATTAAACTGCAGAATGCTCAGATCGAGGACAGAGAATCTTCACTAAAGTGACTATGGTGAATTAGAAGCAACAAGAAATTTGGGGATTTGGGGGAACTAGATTGGATTCTCAGCTATTAATACTACCAAGTAAGCCTGTCTGAGATATCTTGGTTCCTTAATAGCCAAAGTACCACATGTAAGTTAAGTAGATTTGCACAACAAGGTTATTTCAATGTTCAATGAAAAGTCAAATATTTACCTTCCAATAGATGATTAAATTTTTCCCATCAGATTTCCACTCTCTCCAAGTATCTGGTCCCCTTGAAGGAACTGGGAAAGAAGTTTAAAAGTTAGCATTTGAAAAGGCATTCTATAATGCATGTCAGTTGGTATTGATAACTGAGCTGGTGGTGCTTGCATTTTTTTTTCCTAGGCTAATGGAATGCTTAATACGAATTCAGGCTTCAGGCTTCCACTTTGAAAATAATGTAATAAAAAAAAATTAACACTCTTCACTTGCAGGAAATATAGGCCTCTAAAAATGGGTTAAACTCACCGTCAAGGCCCTCTGTGAAGGTCCCCAGGTCCTTGCCATCTCACATCCTCTTATCTCTCCCTTCCCCACTGTGGCTCTGGCCATGTACTAGCCGGCTACCTGGCTACTCTTCAGACCTGAAAGGACGACTGCCTTAGGCTCTCTGCGTTTCTGTGCCCTCGCCTCCTCTGCCTAGAACGCT